TTTTTTTTTTTTTTTTTTGGCAAATTTCCTTAACACCTCAAAACCAACACTACAGCTAACCTTAAAGGAATAATTTATGTTTTTGGAGCATTGCTGAACTAAATATTATTTTCAAAACATGTTAGCTCCTGCATGTCTCTTCCTTCTATATAAACATTCACCCAACCATTCATTCATCCATACAAAAAATATGTATTTATTAGAAGTCTGGTACGTGCTGGGCAGGAAGGGTGCTAGGTGCCTGGGGTAAAAACAAAATGGTCAGTAGCAAACCAGGGCCTGCCCTTTGAACTTCCACATATGGGTCATCATTACTTAGCAAAGGTGTCTTGAATGCTTACATTGCCAGGCAAGTTATTTATAGCAGCCCCTTATGCTGTAAGACTTTGGAAAAGGACCATTTTGTGGAGATACACAGGAAGAGTAGATCCTACATCTTCCTTTCAGTTTTTATGTATAAAAATGCTTTGTCCAGGGAGTTCTAGTGTTGAAAATTGTATATGTTATAATCCTAGCCCTTGAAATTAGAACTTTGCCAATCCAGTCAGAAATGAGGTCTATACTGCCCCAGCAGTGAGAAGGCGGATCTGTTGGTCTATAGATAAAAATTATATCTTGGGATTGTAGCATTTTTTTTTTGGTGCTGTATAGATGGCAGCTTGTATCCCAGTCAAACCAAAATGGTTCCCTCAGGGATATGTGATAAGGATAGACATTTTGGCAACAAATATGGAAAGTTTCAAACATAATAAAAATTCTAACTGTCGTAGTAATTAGCCTTTCTCTTTACTAAGCCATACTATGTATGGCTTCTGCAATCATACTAAAATTTTAAAACAATCATGTCCTCTCTGGAAGGCAATTGCTTTAAATTGGATAGATTTCACTCATTTTCCAGTAAAAGAATTTGAAAATTCTGTCTGTGGAAACCAAAATACTGGATGGCAGAGTTGGATGTGTCTTTCACTTTAAAATGCAGACTCTCTCTGTGGTGAATGTATTTGTTGTGGTAAAGTATTTGAAAGGAAATCCTCAGAATAATTTGGGGGAAGGAAAAACACTGTGTTAAAATAAGCCAACCCATAAGTTTTGAACTTTGAAAATTGCTTTATTTTGAACCAGAAAGAATTAATAATCATTCATAGCATAAAAAATGTATGTTTGGAATATAATACATAATCATGATCTAAAACAAATTAAACCTCCAAATTTTAAAGGACCCTAGTATAATGCTGTGATCTCAGTGATTTTTCTGAATGAATTAATATTGTTTAGAGTTAATATTGATGCCCTTATATAGTTACCTCATGATTTGCTCTGTGTCTTGGCAAATATCTCTCTAGGTAAGTGATTCCTGTAAATGTTAGAAATTTCTTTACAGGTTAACTTTCCCATCATTTTAAATTGTCCATGCTGTGTTATTTCAGTCTATATGCATCCTTTCCAGAACGAAGGGTCCTGCTAGTCTGATAAGAAGCTCTCTTTCCTGAGGTCTGTATTTTGTGTAGGGCTCATCTAGGAGATGGAAAAGCCAGAATGCCAAATTGCAAAGAGTACTCTTTACTGTGGGGCTCCATCCAAAAAGGGTTTGTAACACACTGTACAGTCTTGTAGCCCAGCTGTGTGGAGCATTGATTGCTTCTGCCTAGAGCAGGGATACTGTCAAGTTGCTCTGTGAGTTGAGTCATCTATTGACAAAGAGCTACCAGCCCGCAGATAATGCTGTGCGGAGCTGCTCTCGCTGCTCCCACGATGCACTGCTTATAGCAGCTGTCAAAGATACTGAGGGATCCACGGGAGGAAAAAAAAAAAAAAAGACTTTTACAACTGCCTGGAAGAAAAGGGGTGTGAGGGAGGAGACATTCCTGTGCAGAGCTGACCAAAGGAAAGAGTAGGCATCAGGGCAGTATGAATGCATACCTCACCAAGCAACACGGCTGCAGCCGGGGGTCCGATGGGATGGATGCCGGCAGGAGTGCACCCACACTGATCAGGGATGCCCACTGCGCTTGTGGCTGGCAGAGGAACCCTCATGGGCTTGGGTACAATTCTCAGACCATGCCCTCCTCAGGACCAGGGGGCCCAGCTTCAAACAGGACCAAGCTGGTCACTTTGTGGGACAGTGTGCGGAAAAGCCCCCACAAGACGAGCGCTAAAGGCAAAGGGACTTGTGGGGAGCGTTGCGCCTGCCCACATGGTTGGTTCAGCCCAGCACAGGTGAGCCTTTTCCTTCTGACTTTCCCTTGACTATCGGAAGAAACTGAGAACAAGTTGTGTAAGGGTAGCATGGTTTGGAAACTTTGCTGAGTCCTCCTTGCTGACTGGGAACGCCTGTTTGGAAAACGGTAGGCCTGGAAAACCTGTCATTTTCACAGGTGTTTGTGGGCTCACCTCTGGGTGGCCTGTGAAAGTCCGAAGATGCTGTGCTCAGTTTCTTTCAGTGACTTTTTCCCAAGTTCAACTTCTGTAGTCCTCAGATGATTTTACTGTGCTGCATCATTGGCTTTTAGCAGCAATTTAACTTCTAATCATTGTTAACTTTTCTGTACTGCCTAGCCTCATTGTTTTTGTTTTTGTTTTTAAGGGAGAGAAAAAAATGAACTTTAATCAAATACTTTCCACCTCTTTAATGATAAAAAGGCATTTATTTCTTCAGCTATGGAAAGTAGTGATTTAAATTATGCTTTTCTAATTTTACTCTCATAATACTATATACCTTTTCAGTAATGGAGAAGAAAATTTGTTTATATGAAATAATTCATTTTACACACAAAGGGAATAATTGGGTGCAGACTACAGGATGATTACACTCAGAATACAATAATGAAACATTTTATTTATTCATAGAGTAGCAATAAGGTTATTTATATTAAAAACTATAATTCTCTTTCTTCTGTAATCTAGTTCTTAAGCAGATGTGCAGATTGCCTTAATTTAATTCCTAGCTTATTCTTGCCCCAAACTACTGGCATTTTATCAGAAATGAAATTGGTTCATTTTTTTCCTGTCCCCATCCAGAAGAGGTAAGACAACTTCCTGTAAATGCTGTAAAATTTAAATAAAGTGCACCTGTAATCACTGTCATAAATATAGAACAGTGATAGTTCTTAAATATCCATTGAGAAGGAGAAAAGCTGTTTTCAGGAAAAAAAAGTATTTTCTTGATTTTAATGTGATTTTACTATAATTGAGGAGTGGCTATTGATTACAAGTGAAATGGTATGATGGGAAAGGTGTAGAGAACATTCTAATTTTAATATTAGTTTTTTAAAAAGTACTTCTAAGAATATCACATATCACTAGATCTTAATGATTGAGTTACATATATGTGGTTTTTGATGAATTAATATCATTCATCTCAGAATCTTGCTTTAAATGAAGAATATATTGTCATTTTAGCATTAAACTGGTTCAGCCTGAAATGGAGCCTGACATTTGGAAACTCAATTATTTCTCAGAGTTAACATGAATTTCAAACTGAAAAAAAAAACAGTCTTGACAATTTTGAAGTCTCTATATATTCTTTAACAAATACATATGGTTTAAATGTCTTTAAATTATATCTCTTGTGTTGATTATGTTAAATTCTCAAGGCAAAGAAGACAAACACACATCTAGCTTATGGTTTTTGCACAGAGTAGAATTAGCCAACTGACATTAAAGTAGAAAAAGCAACTTGATTTATTGTCATAATTCTTTTTATCCAAGGTGTAATAAGATTTTCATTTCATAACTGATAATTTCTCAGCCCCAAAACAGTACATTATAATAACCATGCTCTAAAAATCTTGATACATTTTTCATCCATCAAGGGAAACTTTTCCCTTTCTTGCTTTTTAACAAAGTCAGCCTCCTACTTGCCTTAAATTTATAGCCATTTAATGCTTTAAAGGATTGAAATAGACTCTCTGCACTGATAATTAAGGATCTAGTGACATATGAGAAGGCAATTTAAGACAGCTACCATCTCCCATTCTTTTTCATACTTATTTCTATACATTTTCTCTTATTCACATATATTTTATTGTTGGCTAGGAAGAACAGTCCTCCAAATATTGGAATTAAAATACCATATCTTTTAGGGCCTTTAGTGTTGTGACACTCTTCTATCACCTGACCCTTCCTCCTTTTTACCACCTCAGTCCTATGAGAGTGCTATGCATAGATTTTAATATATGTTTTAAAATATCTCTATAATACCTAAATACTTGTACATATTAACATATTTTCATGTATTTATAGGTCTCTATATATGTATCTATATACACATAGACATGTAGGCATGTATATACATATATACATATAAAAATTAAAGTTCTATATTATTATTTTCTTACCCAGAAAGTACTAACTTGTTCTTCCAAAGGATGTTTTATTCTCTTCATATGAAGTACATTTCCTTTACTTCCTGTAGGTGTTCTAAAATGCTGATTTATGTGTATGTGTGTATATGTATACGTGTGTACATGTATATGTGTACATGTGTATATGTGTGTACTCATTTACATATGCATCTATAGAATATGTCTACTATTTAAAATATACAGATATGTGTAAGTACTATACACCCTTATATACTCTAACATAAGTAAGAGCATATGTGTGTGTATGTGTATGCATATGTGTCCATTAAAAGCCTAGTCTGTTTTGAGAATTTTATGATATGATACTGTTCTTACCCCTTAAATTAACTAAAGATATCCTGTGAAATACTGTGAAACAAAGGATGGAGGTTAATTATACTAAACATTACAATTCTTGATAAAGTAGAAAGGAGAAGAATGCGTGCTTTAGAATAACCTGGGGACCCACATATGGTACAGAACGTGCCTGAGGGCTGTTAAGTGTCTTGGAACTGAGATCCTGCTCTCAGAGATATTTGCTGTATTACGTGGAAATCAGCAGTGTGATTTCCGGCTGCTGTAATAGAGGGCCATGGTAATGACTTGAGTTCCTCCCAAGGCTCTTTGCCAAACTCCTGTTATTTGGGGTGTTGTGTGCTAACAGGACACTGTCATTATGTTGTTCCTCAGCAAGACTGAAAAACAGCTTCTGTCCTTTCTCAAATAAGTTTTCATTCCATTTAAATCTGTAGAATTAATATAACCCTAATAATAGGTAAGAAAATGGAAAATTATAGTGTCCAGAAGTGAGTTCTAGAATGTACATCTAGGAAAATAATGTTGGTCTTGGGTGAGGAGTGGGGAGAAACTGTCCATCATTGCATATGTGGCATTTCTCCCCAATTCAGATTGATCTGGGAAGGCAGCACAGAACAGTGGAGACTCAAAGGCCAGAGTTCTATGCATTTGTACTTCATTCATTCAGTCTTCATTTGTTTATTCAACTATCATTTCCTGACTGCTTAGTATGTGCTTCTCTATCAGGGCTGTGGATATAATAGTAAACAGTAAAATAGTAAATAGTAAAAAAAAAAAAAAAAGTAAATATAAATAGTAAAAAGGAAATCCTACCCCTACCATTGTGGTGCTAATGGCCTACAGCCATATATAATCTGTAGTAAATATATCATTATATATACAGAATTATATAATCATAAATCACAAATTGGAAGTGAAACAAGTTCCATGGAGTTCTGCAAATTCCATAGTGGACATATATTCAGGAACCAGAGGAACCACAGAGGAGGAAGAGAGCAAGATAACTTTTAAGTATTCATTTATTTACTTATTTTATTTTATTTTATTTTTATGAAAAGATACAGTATCTCTTTAAGCCTAGATTTTCTATTTTATAAAATGAGCATAAAAATAGAGCCTAACTCAGGATTTGTAGTGAGGAATGATTAACATAATAAATGTAAGGCACTTAGAACAGTGCTTACAAGTCATATGGGTTCAATAAATATTTGTAGAATGAATGAATAAGCGTGGAATAAAAGTTGGCTATTATTAACTTACTCCTTACTTCATTTTTTCTGATTGTCTGGGAAGAGAAAGTAAGTGAATTAGTAAAGACTTCAAGAGGTAGTGATGCTTGGGCTGAATCGAACTGAACCTTGAAGTAACGTACATGTGTTTATCAAGTGAGCAAAGAGAGAGAAGCTTTTGGAGTAAAAATAACAAAAACAGAAACACCTGTAACACTCTGGTTGCTGTGTAGAACTACTCATAGATGCTCATAGTTCTGTTTGCCCAGAATGTTGGGCACTAGAGAGTAGGTTCTTCAAGAGCTGAGGCTAGAGACATGAACAGGGTTTGGACACACAGAGAGTCTGGTGGGCTTTGATGAGGACTTCACTGAACTGGCAGCATGGAGTCAGTCACTGCAGGATCCCAGTGTAACTGGTACTGCTACTCTCCATGTGTTAGACTGCATGGTCATTGAAACTTTCTGGGCCTCAGGTTCTCTGTTTCTAAGAAAACTGATTTTCCCCAAATGAACTCCTATATCTCTTCCAATACTACTCTGTCAACTGACACCCATTAATTAATGGGAAGCACTTTGGAAAAGATTTATGCTTTAAAGCCAGACAATCCTAAGTTTAAATTTCCTAGCTCTGTGTGACCTCACTTCCCTAACCTCTTTAAGACTCATTTGTCTCCTTCTGTAAAACTTAGGATAATAAAATTATATTATGGGAAATGTACTAAGAATTGAAAATACTGTACTCTATATAAAGGAGCCCAGCATGGTGCTTAGAACTTAGGAATTGTTCAATAAGTGGTATTTATTATTACTAATGATATCTAAATTATGCTTTTCTAACCTGAAGAACTTATAGTCCATCAAATTTATTATCAGTATTGTAGTCCTTTATTAGAATTTCTCCTTTGTTCAGTAAATTTTTTGATGTCTTATAATGATGAAGGTTAGGTTAGGCAACTGTCCAGAAACATTTGGCACAGTACCACATGATGATGGGATGACATTTTACCCTTCAGTGTTCTCAGAGATTCACAAAATGCACACTACCAAAAAATATTTATATATCTGTCATATATATATATGGCATATATATGTGTGTATGTATGTGTATAGATATATACATGTATATAATATATATATAGTATATATTATATGTATATATATATATATATATATATATATATATATATATATAAATTGTGTGTGTATATGTGTATATTAGATTTTCTCAGAAACATTCTTCCAGAACAACTGTATTTGAAGCACTTATTCAAACTCTGTAAATCTTCCCTAAGTGTCCTTCTGCAACTCCTCCAGAAATAGCAATT